ATATATATATATATATATATATATTGTTTATAATTAATCTATTTTGTCTACAATCAATCCTTTTCCACTATTTCAACAGAACGTGGAATGGAGAAATTTGTTACGCAGTTCTACGAGTGGTAAAATATTTGGTCCTTCGAGTCGGATTATCCGGTTACTAACAGCAAGTGTATGTGAAAGGGACAGTGAGTGCACTTTAAGCAGAAGATATTAATGACACCAAGCGACTTGAAACGCATTCTTATTCCCAAGGGCAGACTCTTCTTATTTCTGTTACATTATTTCATTCGACATCATGCTAACCAAATTGGCTACGTCGGATCCTCGAGGAGATGGATGGCACCACATTGCGACGCAGACGAAGTACACTCACTCGGTAGCTTAACTTATTTATAAAATTCGTTGACGAAGCGTGCGAAACCGACGTATACACGACACGATCGAAATCCACATTCGCGTAGAAACAATTCACAATGGATATAATTAGTCGAAATACAAAGCAAGTTAGAACAACGATATGAATCGGAACTCGCGAATGCCGAAACAATCAAGAGACACTATTTCTCGACATGCTCACGTGCCGGAACAATTAATACCTAATAAAACACGTGTCTGACAGTTCTCGACAATAAATAAATTCTTCATCAGCGACAATGACATATGCGTCAATTATGAGTAAAATTACTTGAATTGTGACTCTCGATATTTGATGGTACAATAGAAAACTAATCCTCATTTTTCGATTCATTCATTTCAATGATCGACCTCCACAAAGGTCTAACGTCAATTCAGATGTTGTAATACCTTTGAACGGCGCTCACTAGAAAGGCGGCAATGTGCATCCAATCTCTCGCGACAACTGATGCCACGACTCTACGAGATACAAGATGATTCTCCAACTAAAATAGGAGAATTTGTGGCCATGTTTAACTAACATCTTTGCGCACTTAAGAAGCTAAGTGAACCTATTACAGTAAGTGAACCTAGAACAGTATGTTAGTCATCATCATCACCTCCAAAATGAGTCCAAGTATCACCTGAATTTGAGAGCTGACGTTAAGGAGGTGACATCAATGATATGTCTCCGTATACGGATCTTCTAAATTTCCTGGAAAAACTTACAAGTTGTGCACCAGCAACCGCAGGAAGGACGATCGACTCCGCGGGGTATATCAAGAGGACTAATTCGCAATTCCGATTTGATTCGGAAGGGAGCGCACGAAATCAGACATTGTCAACATTTCTGCTCACAACCTATCCATGAGCGAATAAAGAGCGTGAGAAAGGCAGCACTATGCACACTAATTGTTTCCAAACGGGACACATACTGCCAATCAGGAACGTGTCTGGTATACACAACAGGCTTTTACATCAGTCAACGGAAGAAGGTAAGGACTCATCATCTGATTCCGCGTGAATAAGCAGAGACGCTATTTCGACTGCTATGTGATATCAGAATATTCCGATAGGAACGAGGACTCAAAAGACATCGACCCAAGTCACAACGAACTCCTCGTCACTGCATTCAAGTGCATGTTCTTGACTGAGAAAAAGAAACGTATCATTGCCGTATGAGATATGTGCTGATCGAGAAACTTCATTTTGAAAGCTCTCTCTACAAAATTACTGTTTCCAAGAAAACGATGTCACATCCCTATCGGAATAATCAACAAGACCTCCACAGTAGCCAAATATCATACAACGATTACCATAAAATCTCAGTTTTGCAATTATAGCCAGTCCCTTTCGTTTATGATCATTCCGATAATTTCCGGCTTCGTTCCAGCCTCTGAATTTATAAACTACACAGTCTTATCAACTGCAATAGGAAACTCTCGCGAGCAAGCACAAATCAGATTCCTTGCATTGAAATGAAAGTTGCACAAAAATTCAGAATTACAAGAACAACATGTTGCCTTTCTAAATAAATATGAACAGTTAGGTCATATGACTAGATTAAACGAACATTATGCATTACCTGCATTATCTCCAACACGCCGTTAAAAAAAAAGATATAGTACGAAAATTCTGGTCATATTCGATGGTTCGGCAAAAACAAACTCGGATCTATCACTCAGTGACGTACAACGAGTGAGAGCAATCATTCAAAATGATCTCCTTTCTATTCTAATTAGATTCAGGTAGTATAAATACGTAATACAACGTCGAGAAAATGTATCGACAAATATTAATCAGCCCGAATGACAAGCGCTTCTAGCGAAATTTCGGCGAAATTCCAGCCAAACATACCATTATACGATGATACGAACTAAATATTGTGACATACGGAACGGGCATCAGCTCCCTTTCTAGCAACGCGAGTTGCATGACATAGAAACCCAACATATAGATAGGTTCCTTCGAATCAGCCAGATTATGATAAATAATTTCAATGTAGACGATCTTCTTCTAACAGGAGGTTAATCAATTGCTCATGCACGGAACACGAAACATGAACTAGCAACTATACTAGCACAGAATGATTTCCATTTAGATGCCCATTTACGGAAATGGGCATTTAACCACCAATACGAAATACTACAACAAGGTACGCAATGAATCGAATCGAAATTCAAGCAGACAAGGATCCAAAAACATTAGGTTTATTGTGGTCACCAACTACTGACACCTCAGAATTTAAAATCACACCAACAACTAGCAAACGCGTCATAAAACGAAGTATATTACGACGTGGCAAAAATATTTGATAGATTTATTAGGTTTATTAGGGCCTATAACCATCACAGCAAAA